AAAAAAAAAAAAAAAAAAAAAACAAACCCCAAAAAGCCAGTCTATTACCTGAAAAAAAGTTATATAAACCATGGTATACCCTTACTATAGAATAGTTGGCAGCCATTAGAAAGAATGAAGAAGAGCTATGTTTACAGTGTGCAAGGAGCTCATTAAGCAGGGAAAAAGAAAAACCAAAAACAAAAAGTTTTTAAAAATGAGTTGAGCAGAACAACTTGTACATTATTACTTAGGTAAGGTAAACATGAATTCCCAACCTACATACAAATGTATGTAAATAAATAGACAGATTTGGAAGAATATACTTCAAATGACTAAACTTGGGAAAGTAGGATTATAATGTGGCTGATGAAAGAGGATGTTCATTTTTTAATATATGTTTTTCATTTGAGACCAGTCATGTTAACATTATTTTTTATTCTTTGTTTCTGAATTGTTATAATGGGCACATATAAATTTATTGTTTAATTAACTGGAGACAGTAAAAACTACTGAGATAGAATTTACATGCCATAAAATTCACCCTTTTAAAGTGTATAATTCAGTATTTTCTAGTACATTCACGAAGTTGTGCTACCATCACTATTATCTAATTTCAGACCACTGCATCATTCCACAAAGAAATGTATAATTCCTAGTCACTCTTCATTGCTCCCTACCCCAGTAATTTTTTTTTTTTTTTTTTTTGAGATGGAGTCTTGCTCTGCTGCCCAGGCTGGAGTGCAGTGACGCCATCTCTGCCCACTGCAACCTCTGCCTCCGGTGTTCAAGCGATTCTCCTGCGTCAGCCTCCGGAGTAGCTGGGATTACACGTGCGCACCACCATGCCCGGCTAATTTTTGTATTTTTAGTAGAGATGGGGTTTCACCCTGTTGGTCAGGCTGGTCTTGAACTCTCGACCTTGTGATCCGCCCACTTTGGCCTCCCAAAGTGCTGGGATTACAGGCGTGAGCCACCGCGCCCGGCCTATAAAATTTTAATTAAAAAATTTAAAGAATGATAACGGAATAACCTGGAACATCTAGAATGTTGTTTCTAGATTTGCGGGGCGGAAGTGGGTAGAATCCAAGAATTTAAGCTCTCTTCTCCGCCTATGCATACATAACTGCAAAAAGTATGCCCAACTTTACACAAGTATGATGTTTATGATAAAATTACAGAAATAAAAATCCATCACCCTCAAATTCCTTCTGTAATAGAAGTTACCTGTCTAATCACTCCAGAAATCTTATCCCCAGACGTTGTGGGCAGAGCAGAGACTGAGGAGGGGAGGCCAGAGAGTGACGGTCAGAGGTGGGCAGGAGGGTACTCGATGGGGTTGGCGGAAGATAGAGAGGTGGAGCCTAGATGTTTTCCATGGAGAGTCTACGTCTCTAACCTTCATTAAACAATTAGGCTAGATTAAAGAAATAACTCTTCTAGCTTAAGGAACTTGCCCTCTTGTACTTTAACCCCTTGTTGCTCTAAGTGAAGCCTAGGGACCAGCAGCACTGGTGCCATCTGGACATGTATTAGAAACGCAGATTATCAGACCCTACTCCTCAATTTGCATTTTCACAAGATCCCAGGAGATTCCTATGTTTTTATTAAAGTTCAAGATAAAATGCTTTCCTGGACTATCCAAAGGCACTTCACCAGAGTGACCCCTGAAAAGTTCCCAGTCTGGGAGAGCAAGAAGTAGGCAGGTCTAGGAAATAGGCGGGGCCTCGGACCGCGGAGGAGCAGAGTCCCAGCCGCTCGCTCCCCTCGGCGCGGCCCCTCCACCTTCACTACACCTTTGGCTAGGATCTACAGGGCTACCTGTCCTCTTTTTCCGGCAGAAGACACCTGTACAGTTCATAAAACTTGACCCGTTCAGCCCTGGGCCCGGAAGCTCGTTCTGACTGCCAAGTCTACGGAACCACGGAGTCAAAAAAGAGCCGCCACAACCTCGCGAGCTGCTACCTCCGCTGGCACCGTAGCCCCGCCCCCACCTGACCCCTGGGGGCGGAGAGAAGTCCTGGCTCCGCCTCTTCCGAACCAGCAGGAAGTGACGTCATGCCTCGGTCGGCAGGTCTTCCAGTCTTTTTCCCCCTCCCTTACTCTTCGTCCCCAGTCCCTCCCCTTCCCACCCCCTTCCCTCCTCCAGCTCCGGCGTCTGCGGCCGCGGGGGCGGCGGAGGCTATGGAGTAAAGCCGGAGTCAGCGACCAGGCGCGAAGGCAGAGCAGGAACAACCAGGCGGCGTTTAGGGGGGCGGGGGGAAAGGGCTCCAGCACCGCCCCTCCTGGAAGGAGAGGGAAGAGGTAAGTGACCGGCCGCCGGCACCGAGCGACCTCCCTTACTGGCCGCGCTCTCGCCTGACACCCGGGGCCAGCGAGGAGGGAATGGAGAAGGACCCGCGCCCGGGGTAGGCCTCCCAGGGCGCCGGGGCTGGTGAGTGTTGCCTGGGGATGGGCCCGCAGGGCGGTCGGCGGTAGGAGCCCGAGCGAAGCGGGGCTGGGCGAACAGCGAGCTCCGGGGAGCGGATCCGAGATGGCCGAGTCCTCGAAAGAGGCCTTGAGGCGACCCGGGATTGGGGTCAGCTGCAGGAGGAAGAGCCCCCCCCCCCCCATGCCTGCTCGAAAGCTTGGGTTTCGGTGGTGGAGAACGTGGTACCCTTGGAGAAATTGGACACTACTTTAGGACCGGGTGAGAGAGCTCCCCTCAGTTTTGAGGTCCCCGATCCCGTAGCCGGGGTCACCAGCCAGGGCCCTGCCGCCCGTCGTCCTTCTCTGACAGTAGCTTTAGTTCTGGAATGGAAGGTTATTGTGTGTGAGGTGGGTGGGGCAGGTGTTTTGTGAAGACAGAAAAATCCCACCGGTTTCTCCTGCAGTCTTATTTTTCTAAGCAGGAGAAAACGAATGGAGGAAGGTTTAGACCGATAAAGCTTGCAAAAACTTCTTGGACTCTGAGCACATACCTGTGATACGTAATTAAGGAGACTGTATTATAGAATCCACCCTCTAAGGCACTGAATGAGGCTCTAGACACAAGCCGCTTAAAAGCGCCATGCCCGTAGCGACTTCATTGGAAGTTGTCAACTGTTTTTTAGTACGTATCAGACTCAGGAATCAATTGTGATGACACTTTTTAAAAACATTGGATTCTATGTGTGAGTCTTCTAAGTAGCATGCCTCTGTTCTGAAGAATAAATACTGTAACAAAAATGCTCGAAATCAGCCTGTCACTGTCAGACCCCATCATATTCTGGTGATGGCTTGAAAGTCAGGTGCTTGAGATTCCTTTTGGACTTTGCAGGTTTGTTGTTGTTTGGTTTTCTGTCTTATTCTTTAGCACAAATATTTTTAAAATATTTAAAAATGATATCAGCTGAGTATATAAACTACTTCTTAAGGCAACATTAAACTGTAGTCATATAGGATGCTTTTGGGGGATTGTGTAAATGAAGGGAACTTAATGGAAGGAGAGGGTCTTCATTCTCTTTAGATTTATGTTACCTACATGCAGAAACCTGTTTTGTCTCTAAGATTCCTAAACACCCAATAAAATAAATACAGGCACATTGTGTTTCCATACAATGGAATACTTTCTGTACAGATGAACCCTTTATTGGGAATAACTACTCATACTCACATGTTTCAAATTCATGATGTGCCTCCCTTCCCCTACCCTAAGAAGAAAAGTAGCTCCTCTTGCTGTGTTTAACTCCGGAGGTAGCATCACTATCCATTCCTTTCTATAGAAGTTGAAGTTTGGCAATTCCACTCTCATGCCTCATACTCAATCTCTCATGAAGTCCTGTTGATTTTGCCTCTTGAATATCTCTTGACTCTTGTCTACCCTTCATCTTTAACAGTAGTCCTTCTGTTCCAAGCCACCACCGTCTCTCATCTTGACTACTGCCATAGCTTCCTGATTATGGCCTGCTTGCATCTACTGTGGTCTCCTGTAGTTTTCCACACCAGACTTAGTGACTTTTTCAAAATGCAGATCTAATAGCATTGTCTTTGTGTTTAAAATATTTCAGTGGCTTCCCACTATTTTTAAGAAAATCGAATACATTAACCTGCTCTACAAGCCCTGCAGAGTCGGTTCCCCGATTGCCATTCCAACCTCATCTCCACTGTGCTTTATCACATTCCGTTTCTCCCCTAGTCACCCTGTCTTTTCTGTTCTCCTGCTTCAAGTATGTGGCTTTTGCTTATGCTACTTCCTCTGCTTGGAAATGCCCTTCCTTTCTTTTTTTAGCCAATTAATGCCTATTCATCGTTCACCTCACTTCAGGGAAGACTTTCCCAATTAGAATAGATTCTCCTGATTATATGTTCTTACAACACCATTGAAGAGTTGTCATGCTTATTAATACTTAATAAATTAATGAGATGTTCCTCATCTCCTGATGTGTAAGTGCTTAATAAATGTTTGTTAAATGAGTGAATTCATTTAATGCTTACTGAATGTGCCAAGAATTGTACTAAACATTTTACCTCATCATCATCTTTAATCCTTACAACAATCACTTAAGTACAGCTAGCTTTTGCCGTTTTTATAGATTAGAAATAGTGTTAGCATGGCTAGTTGGTCATCGATCTAGTGAGTATTAGCATTGGCATTTGAGCTCAGATTTCCTTACCATTGAAGAGTGTGTACTTAACCATATAATTTAATTTTCACTTTTTGCTGTGCATCAGAACCACTTAGGGAGCTTTCTTAGGATACAAATAATCTAACTCCATCTTTATAGGTTCCATTTCCAAAGGCCTGAGATACTACATAGGCATCTATATGGTTTAAGAAGTTATCCAGGTTATTAGATGCCCACCAGAATTTGAAAACTACTGTTTTAGACAGTACTTGTGTTTTATGACTTTGTTTTCATATATTGTATTACATTGTATTTGAAATTTTATACTTCATTAAATCGAGGAAGAACTGCAGACTTTAAGGAAGTGGTCATTTAGTCTAATTTCCTACCTAGTTATTCCTTTTCCCTCTTCTCTAGCTGGAGGGCCTGCATAGTGAGAAACTGTCTCCCCTTTGCTACTGCTTTAAAAAAAATTATAATAATTTCAAGAATCTGATGAACTTATTGTGGTAAAAACTATAGTTCACTAATTACCTGGGCTGGAAGTGGCTTCAGAAAATTTGGATGTAATCTCTCCTCAGATCTTGTTTAAATTATGAATTTGATATTTAAGCGTGTATTGTCTTAAATTTCATATTGCCGTTTTTTAAAAAATATTTTTATTTACATAGAGACAGGGTCTCACTGTGTTGACCAGGCTGATCTTGAACTCCTGAGCTCAAGTGATCCTCCCGCCTCAGCCTCCCAAAGTGCTAGGATTACAGGCGTGAGCCACTGTGCCTGGCCTCATGTTACTTTTTAAATCTTATTGTACAGTGGTCTTAAAATTTGTTACCAATGACAGAAACTGAATGTTTTACTTCTTGTTTCTCCCACTGCACTTAACATAGTGTTTTTCACTTAGTAGGTACCCAATAATTTGTGTACTAACTTGGCTATACATTGCTGAGTCTCTTCAGCTTTTTAGATTCGTTTTTAAAATCAGGCTTCTTTAAGTTATGGGTTCTGGCTCAACTGTGGCTGATAATTAGACACTTTTTGTAACTGTAAAGATAATGATTATACTCAGCTATGTCTAATCTTTATTGTTCTGAATAAGATTAAACATAATTTCTTATGTTTAAGAACAAAGAAGAGTATTATCCATTTTTTGAAAACTTTCTTTTTAAAAACTTCTGGTAATTTCTGAGTAATACCACAAGCAGAACCGAATATTTCAAGAATACATCTTAGGACCAACTCTGGCCTTAAGGTTGGCCCTGCTCCCTGCAGAGCAGCAAAAAAAGAAAAAAAGAGAGATAGAGAATATATCTTAAGATCATCTTTTTATAGATACAAACAGATAAGTACTGCATATGGGAGTATAAGCACACATTTTTTTCTCCCCAGATTTTGCGAAGCATTTAACCCTAAGTATTTCATGTCTTCTGAATGTAAGTTTTATTTAGAATTACAAAAATTCATTGAATAACTATATAAATGATTATATAAATGGTATTCTTTTATTTTCAGCCATTTACATACAAATTTCAGACCTTTGTGCCTATTTAAGGGATAAAGCAATTTTGAATTTCTTTCTTTTATATTGTTGTTCTTTGTAGTCAATGTGTATTATTTTGAGCTTTTTGAAAGTCTAGTCTCTGCTAGGTGTCATGAGAATGAAAGTTATTAAATGTAATTTCATTGCCAGATGTAATTACAGTAAGCTTTTTATTTGCATTGCAGTGACTTCAACAAAAATGTAAGCTAATTCTGCTTTTTAATATTTTATTCTTGGGATTGTAGGCTTGGGAAGCTGGGAAAAAATTAAGAAATATATTCTTGAAGAAGTACAGGACTGTCTATATTCATGTTATTTGAAAAGTCAAGAAGTCTTTTTTAAGCATAAATATAATTTTACTTGTTATATTTTCTGCTATATCTAGAATTCATGAGCAGGCAGAACTGAAAGAATTGCCAGTTCCTTTCAGCTACCTGCTGTCAGAGGCTGTAACACTCAATTCACTTTTTGGCAGGTGCACGTAAAATCTAGCATTACAACAGATTCACGAACTGGTTCTACTGAAAGCCAGGTGATGGCTGAGCCAGATGGTAGAGAGAAACAATCTTGGCCTTCTGTAATTTTCAAGATAGTCCTCTTCCTTGGGTGATATTTTTCAAGGCCATAGTCTAGTATAGAGGCTCATGGTGCATCAATTTTTACCTTCAATCTGGATGGTTTTTTCTAGTTTTTGGCCTGCATATCTAAAAACCTACTAGATATCTCCATTTGAGTGTCATTCAGGCAACTGAAATTCTACATGTCCAAAGTTGAGTTCTTTCCCTATAAAACAACTGCCTTCTATATATTCTGCCTTGGTAAATAGCTTCTGTTTCCACCTAGACTCTGAAATTGGGGGTGGGGTAGGATTCTTAGTTTTGTCCTTTTCTTCTCTTGGTTTTAACTGGTACTTGTTTCTTAATTTTTCCTTTTTTTTTTTTCCTTTCTCACTGCTA